CTGCAAATAAATTAAATTTCTACAAAGAATTTTATTATTCATGAAAGAATTTAAATATTTACCTATAATAATAATTTAATTCTTGTGAAGAATTTTATAAAAATTTTTAAATAATTGCTTTCTTTCGACTAATTTTATGCAAATTCTAATTTAAATAATTAAATTCCTGATAAATTTTTATTATTCATGAAAAAAATTGAATTCTTACAAAGATTTTTACAACCAATTTTTAAAATAATTGAATTCTGTTTGGAAATTTAAAAAAAAATAGTTAATATTGAAAATCATTGAATTGTGAAAAGTTTTTAAAAATAATTAAATTTTACAGAGAATTCTATTAAAATTTTTGACAATAATTGAATGTCCGTGTGGTATTTCATTAATTTTTTTTTTAAAATAGTTGAATTCTTAAAAAGCATTTTAATTTTTATGAAAGTAATTGAATTCTTGCGAATGATGTTATTATAATTTTTAAAAATAATTGAATTTCCAAGAATGTATTTATTACCTTTAAAAATAATTGAATACTTGTAATGAATATTATTATTTATAAAAATAATTGAATTTTGCAAAGAATTTTATTAAAGTTCCTCAAAATAATTGAACTTTCGGAAATCATTTTGTTATTTATCGACATAATTGAATTCTTTTCAAGAATTATTTATGTAGGGGAATGTAGTCAAGGTTGGCCTACTGTCTAGGTAGGCCACTCGCGTTTTTTTGTCAAGTTCACTAGCGCCACCTACGCGCATTTTTGTCGAAGCTTGTCTTAGTGAAACCTAACTTTTTGTTCAATTACATTTTCGGAAAATCGAAAATTGTGTTTTCTGTGACGTCGGTACAAAAAAAGCTCAAAAAAAGTTTTGTGCATAATGTGAAAAACCATTAATAAAAGATAAAAAACAAATTGAATCGTCAAGGCAAGTATGCAGAAAATTTGTGGGACTCATGGTTGAAAGGAAAACAAAGTAAAAAATCGAATCCCGAAACGTATTTCTTTATGGTTACAACAATTCGGTAATGTTACTTACTGTCAAGGTCGGCCACTATGTGTTTAAAATGCGCAAAGTTGAGGACGAGCTACTTCATTTGCAAAAACTGCAATTCTGTATAACTCATAATATAATTGATCATCTTATTAATATTTTTATTTAATTTTATTAATATTTTAGTGCAAAAATTTTTTTTATTTATATTTATTTTTTTATATTGTTTATTGTTATTATTTTGTTATTTCATTAAGTTACAAACTGTAAACAATAAAGAATCAATTTTCCGTAACTCTAAACATGTCATTTTATTTTTTAACGATTAATGCCCTTTGAATTTTAAACATGGCCGACCTTGACTGTAATGGCCAACCTGGACTACAAATTTTTTTTTTTTTAAATCTTTATAACTTTTTCATTTTTAAACCTGTCAATTTACTTTGTACAGAAAAAATGTTCCTATTAAACAGGACTTTCCAACCATATACTTCAATTGTCCAAATTCATTTTTAAAAAAAAGTTATAAACAAAAGTCAAAAAGGTGGCCGACCTAGACTATGTTCCCCTAAATAATGTAATTTTTAGGAAGAATGTTATTAAAATCTAAAACAATAATTGAATTATTTCAAAGAAATTTAATTAAAATTGTATTTAGAATAATTGATTTTATTAGAACAATTTTATTAAAATATTTGAAAATAATTGAATTCCTGTGAAAAATTCTAATATTTAAAAAAAAAATGGAATTTATCCAAAGAATTTTAAAAAAACATTTTTTTAAATATTTGACTTTTTCGAGAAAATGAAATGAAATTTTTTAAAATAATTACATTTTTTGAGCAATTCCTTTAAAATTTTATTATAAATAATTGAAATCCTGCGATGAATATTATTATTTATGAAAATAATTGAATAGTTCCATAAAATTTTATTAAAGTTTTCAAAAATAATTGAATTTCTGAGAAGAATTTTATTATTTATGATATTTATGAAAATAATTGAATTATAAAGAAAAATTTTATTAAAATGTTTTAAAAAAATTGTATTTCTTTGAAAAATTTTGTTATTTTTGAAAATAATTGATTTTTTTGAAATTATTTCGAAAATGTTAGACGAAATTAATTGAATTCCTGAGGAAATTTTATTATTTATGAAAATAATTGAATTTTTGGATAAATTTTATAATTTTTTTTTTTAAATAATTGAATTCTTTTGCGAAATTTTATGAAAATACTATAAACATTGGAAATAATTGAATTTCAAATATTTTTTGAATATAATTGAATCGTTTTAAAGAATTGAATTATTATTATTGAGAATAGTTTTTTGATTTCTAGTATTAGCAAATTTAAAGTAGTGTAAATTCTCAAAAAAAAGAAACAGAAATAGTAGATTTTAGTGACAGAAATCTAAAAAAAGTACCTAAATAGTAGGATAACGTAAAAAAGTAGTAAATAGTAGGTTTTAGTATAGATGAGCGCAAAGCCTACAATTAATTTGAATTTTTTAAAATTTCGATACAAAAAAAACCCACGAAAAAACAATTTCCCAATATATAATATCTCAGGGTCAAGATCAAGTGTTCCATCAAAAGAAATCGAAAACACAAAAAAAACGAAACTCCAAAGATTAAATACCACAGATTATGTCACATTAAGACATTAAAATGGGAAAATATATTAAATTCAGTTCCACGTCTAATGCATAAAAGGGAATAAAATTTTCACGAATCAAATTAGCATCGCGCGGCTTTTAACCGCAATATAAAAGAAAACTTGTCAAAAATAATCAATTAAAAATCTTTTCCTCGAATTTGAGTCGCACCTGCTCTTCGTTTATATATATAGTATATATAGTGGACACAAATTGTTTTTATTTCAGCTACCGGAAGTTTAAACGCGCGCACGCAGAGAACTCTTTTGGTTCCAAAGATGTCCAAAGGAATGCAATCCTCAGAATCTTCGCCCCCCTGTTCCTCCCCTATCCCTTCCAACTTGTTACGATGAAATTCATTGCCAATTAATTGTTGTTTATGAAACGAGAATTTTTATACGTCCGCAGTCAAAAAACCGCAAAGAGACTTGTTTCTCCTTCTTTGTCGAAATCATCGCGTGTGTGAATTTACAATTTTTGAATTTTTTTTTTGGATTAATATTAATTAATAAATTAATTATTATTAAGTTTAATTATTTTAATTATTAATTGTAATAATATTAATTATTAATTATAATAATTTTAATTATTAATTATAATAATTTTAATTATTAATTTTAAAAATTTTAATTACTAATTTTAACAAAATAAGTACTATATATTGTTAATAATAAATTTTTATATTTTTATTAATAAAAAAAATATATTCAAAAAGTGGGTTTAAGAAAAGGAAAGCTTTTTTCTAATTTTACCCCCCCACCCCACACCCTCTCTTCCCCCTGAAAGCTGTACGTATTTTTTGAATGACCCCAAATAATAAATAACATATTTTTTGTTAGTTTTAATTAATTAAAATAATTTAAACTTAATTATTAGGTTTTTGTATAAAAAAATACATTAAAAAAATATGCAAAGTTTTTTTTTTGAAATTTTATCCCCCCCCCCCATTTTCCCCTGAAAGTGTCACGTATTTTTTTAATGGACCCTAATAATAAATCAATTATTAGTTTTTATATAAAAAAAAACGCAAAGTTTTTTTTTTTGAAATTTTATTAATAATAATAAATTAATAATTATATTTCAATAATAATCATAAAAAACGAAGTAAAATTTTTATCAAAGAAATTTTTCTTTTAATTGAAATTTTACTTCGTTTTTTATGATCGCATATTGTCAATTAAAAAAAAAATGTTTCAAGACATAAAATTTATTCGAAAGTTATAAAAAAAATGATACTTTTGAGATTCTTGTTGAATAGAGAAGAAGACTAATTTTATAATTCACCTGTGCGTGAATATATAAGAAATATAATATGATAAATATCGAAATGATAAAATGAATATTAATCAAAAACAGAAATTTGTATATATTCCCATTAAGGCAATACATTCGAATTAAAAATGATGTTCTATTCATGTGTCGCAATCGTCATTTGTTGAATTCTCTCTGATCTTTTTTCTTTTAAAAAAAAATTACAAGGCAACATTAAAGTAAATGTCTTTATTATATGAGATGAGAAAGAAAGCCAAGTTTATATAAATGTTAAGAGGATGAGAATAAATGATCGAGGCACGATTAAAATTGTCTTTTATATATAGAGAAGGAGAAAGATTACCGGACAACTATATATATATATATATATATACGCAGTTGACCAACGAGAAATTTTTTTTTCAAAAAGCAATTTATCACGAACGGTAATCATGCACTATCTTCGGCACAGTGACCAAAAGAGAAAAAAAAATATAAAAAGAATGAAAAAGAAACAAAATCTTTATTTGAATTCCGCTTATCGCTTATTCGATAGCCTATGGAATCGCGTCGCGCATAACGAATCGTGCAAAATTAACGATCTCAAAATTAAACGTCTTTCATTTCTCATTAAAGTTTCAATTTTGCCGCGCGGCGCTCCGTAATTCTTTATTTGAAATTCAAAAAAAATTCTATCGTTAGATAAATTTTCAATTTTAGAATTTTACTGCTTGTTAATTTTTAAAATTCCAGAATTTTTAATACGAGTATAGGCAAAGAATGTAAGAATTTGTAGTTATTTGTCAAATTATTTTCTCACTTACTCAAATTTTTTAAAACTTTTCTTTCAGAAAAAAAAAAGATTTTAAAATAAATTCTGTTGGTTAAAAAATATAAGGTTTTTAAAATATTCTTTCTACATTTTACTTCAGAGTAATTAATTTAGAATTAGAATTAATTTAGAATATTCAGAATATTAAAAAATTCTATAGTCCCTTTTTACTAAAGTGAAAAGAATTTTCTTTTCAATTAGTCAGTTAATAAAGTATTTAAAATAAATTAATTTAAATAATATTTCGTTTATTTTAAGAAATAATTAGGACTCACAGGTTTTATTGTTGTCTGCATAAATCAACTTCGAAGATGCTTTCTTTTAGTCTGAAACAAAAAGAAAATTTTTAGAATTATTAATCACAAGAAATCAATTATTCTCTTAAATAATAACATTCTTTGGAAGAATTAAATTATTTTTATAAATAGTTAAATTCTTCACAGAAATTCAATTACATATTTTTCAAAAAATTTTTAATAAAATTTTGACGAAGGGAATCAATTATTTTCAATACAATTTTTCGAAAGAATTCAGTTATTTCCTAAAACTTCAATAAAATTCTTCAAAACATTCAATTATTTTTAATAGAATTTTAATAAAATTTCTCGAACGAGTACAATTATTATACTTTTAAAAATTGTAATAAAATTTATCTAAAAAATTCATGCATTCTCAAAAGTTTTAATAAAATTCTTTGTAAATTTCAATTATTTAAATAATTTTCAATTAAAATTATATTAAATTTTCAATTAAAAAACAACATTCTATTCAAAAAAATTTAATTATTTACGAATTTTGTAATAAAATTGTTTAGGAGAATTTAAGTTGCTATCAAGAATTTTATTAAAATTTAATAATAAAATTATTATTTACAATTGTTAAAACATGATTATTTCAAAATAAATAGTAATTTCTACTAATTTGTTAGTAAGATTTACTAATTCAAAAGCAAAATTTCAGTCACAAATTCAAATTAGGTTAACATTTTTACTAATTCAAATTTTGTGAGTTAAGAGCTCGCCACAATTGATAAAATATATTTAAAAAATGAATTTGAAAAATAAATTAAACAAATAACTTTGAAACCAAGATTTAACAAATAAATTTGAAAAATTAATTTAACAAATAAATTTAAAAAATAATTTTGACAAATTTTTAAAAATTAATCTGACAAACAAATTTGAAAAATTGTTTCGTGAATAATTCCAGAAAAATTCAAACATTTCAGAAATTAATTGATAAAATAAATTAAAATAATAAATTTTAAATCCATAAAGAAAAAAAGCATGAATTTTCAAAAAATTGCTAAATAAATGACAAAATACAAACAAATTCGTGCGCGTGTCGAATTTTCGTCGCGGGTGAACGTTCAAAAATACCCGGATGAAGACAAGATGAAAAAAAAAGAGCGAAGGAATATAACGACACGTGGGTGTCAGTGGGAGAGAGGCACGTGCCGTGGCGTTCTCCTGGTGTGCTCAGAAAACTATTTCCGCATGTCGAGGATATTGTTTCCGAGCATCCCTACTCCGCGGGAGCCGGTCCAGGTCTTCTTCATTTCTCAGCAGGCATTCTCCTCTTCACTCTCAAGTTAGTATCATTTTTTGAAAATAAGAAAAACAAGAAATAAAAATTGCGACACTCAAGCAAAACTGAAACGATGAAAAGAGAGAAAGAGAGAGAGAGCCATTAGAAGATAAATATATACCTAGAATAACTCGTAAAAATGGAAATCCATAATTCTCAAAACCACAGCATCGCGGTAAAGACGCCAAAAGATGAAAAGAAAATTAGTCCCAAGAAAAATAATATGAATCCTTCGTTTTTTTTTATATAGTCGAATTAATATTGAATCATGTCTCAAAAGGATTTCACGCTCGGATATAAAATCCCTTGAGAAAAAAGATAAAAAAGAAGGGGAGGAAAAAAATGACTTTAAGAAGAAAATCCGCAGTGAGATATACCTTCAGAGTAATTCCCCTCGCTTGAAATAAGGAGTCGATTATGACTTAAGCAGTAAAGGCCGAGAATTCTTGCGTATAAATGAGGATCGTAAATGAACGTAAAAACATCGAAATGCAAGAATTTCAGAAAAAAAGCAATGTACTTGAAAATCTAATCTATTTTATTGCTGAATAGAAAACAGGTGACGCGTGACGTGTGTGAGAGAAAAATTCTCTCAGAACTTTAAGTTTAAAAATTTTTTTCAAATATTTAAAAAAGAGAATAAAATTTCCAAGTATTTTTATTTCTAAAGAATAATTGGAATTGTTAATAAAGAGAATTAATTAAACAAATTTATTTCCATGGTTGCTACAAAAATTTGAAATTCTTTTTTCCTGACTTTTCCCTGATTTCTAGAGACAAAATTTTGACTAACTTTCTGATTTTTAAAAAAATTCCAGAGCAGTTCAATTATAAAAAAATCATATAATTTTTAGAAGCAGAAAATTTATTTTCAATTTTAAGAGTTTATACCTATTTTAAAAAATAAAATTAGTTACAATGGCGAACTTTCCTAGATTATTTTTCAAATTTCAATTAAATTGTTAAAATATTTAATTTCTTTATATTTCGAAAATTTTAATTATTTAAAAATTTTTCAATTACCTTGTTTATAAAAGTTCAATTATTTCCCCTCGCTTATTATAATTCAATAAAATTTTTCAAAAATTAAATTATTTTTTACAGCATTTAGGAAATTGCAATTATTTCCAAAATTATCAATCACTTGTTTATAAATATTCAATTATCTTAAAAACATTTAACTAAAGTATTTTAAAAGCCTAATTTTTTAGAATATTTACCAATTTTTAAATTTCAATTGTTTGAAAATTCAATTTTTTAAAAATGTCTAATGAAAGTATTTAGGAAAGTTTAATAATTTTCAATTCATGTCACAAAATTTCAAAAAATTTCATAATTATATAATAGAAATTTTTTTGAAAATTCAAGTAAACTTTAAAAAATTGAATTAAAATTCGTCATAAAAATTTTTTTTCACAATTTTAAATCAAATTATTTAAAGTCGAAACAATTTTTTAAATAAATATTTAATTATTATTTATTTAAAATTATTGAAAAAAAAATTATTTTAAAAAATTTTAGTTGAAAATCTTCTGAAAATCTTCTCAAATTTAATTATTTTAAATAAATAAATTCGATAAGAAATCAAGCTTTCTAAGTTCCTCAGAAAATATTTTTATGCAAAAAACAGATTATTTTGTAATTCTTCTAGAAATTAGATATTTTTTCCCTACTTTTGATAAACTTTACCGACTTTTTCCTAACTCCCCTCACCCTTAAATTTAATTTTCTCTGCGACTTTTCCTCGCACGCATTAATTATCATAAAAATTATAATTGAAGCTTTATCGCGACTTTTTCAAATAGAATTTATTCTCTCTCGATAATTTTCATTTCTTTTCTTCTTTTTCTCGCTCTTTTCATCTCTCGATATTATTAAAAAGCCTTTGACTACTATAATTATCTAATTCCACGTCTGGCGACTCGGCAATTTTCAATTCTACAGAATATCGCGTCCCAGACGAATGGCACGCAACTAAAAATCGCAAAACTTTTGCGAGTCTACCATCTAATGAAGCAGCTGCTCGACTAATCCAAAAGTCAACTCATTCTCTCTCTTCGAAATCGTAGAAACGAATCTCTCGTGTCTAGGATGATTTTTACTATTTCTTCCTTTTTTCTGCAAAAAAAAAAAAAACAAAAAAAAATTCGAATCACTGGTTTTGCAATTCAGTCACGCCACATTATTGAATTTGAAAGGATTCTCATATATTATTTCGCCAAATTGACAAACAATAATTAAGATAAAAAAAAATTTTGTTACAAAACTATTGAATTTCAGAAAAAAAATTTTTATTAAATTTTCGGAATATTTATTCAATTTTTAGAATATTTATTCAGTTTTTAGAATATTTTTTTAATTTTGAAAACATTTATTTAATTTTTGGAATATTTTTTCAATTCAGAAAAACACTTTGAAAGTCAAAGTGAAAATGAAAGTCAACGTCAAAATCAAAATGAAAGTCAAAATCCGTAACTTTGTCTCTCCCAAGTTAATACGTAAATGAAATTGAAATAGAAGTAAAAACCAACGTTAAAATCAAATTCAAAATTTGACATTAAAAACTTTTCAAATTTTAACTTTGATTTTGATTTTCATTTTCACTGTGATTTTCACTTTGACTTTGACATTGATTTCGATGTTGACCTTCATTTTCTCATTGACTTTCAAAATTTAAGTTAAATTCAGAATGAAAGTGAAAGTAAAAGTCAAAGTCATTGTCAAAGGTAAAATCGAATCAAAAGTCAAATTACAAAATTGCTCCCCAGTTTAGATAAATAAAAAATAAAAATAAATCCCTGAATCAAACTTTTTTTTTCTAAATTTACATTTTAAGTGAGTCAAATAAATAAAAAAACTAAAAATAGAAAATAAGAATAAAAATAGAAAATGATTATAAGAATAGAAAATAAAAATAGAAAATGAGAATAAATATAGAAAATGATTATGACAGTAGAAAATAAAAATAGAAAATAAAAATAGAAAACTACAAGAAAATTAGAAAATGAGAATAAAAATAGAAAATTACAAGAAAAATAGAAAATAAAAGTAGAAAATAGAAAATAAAAATAGAAAATGAGAAAAAAAAATAGAAAAAAAAGAAAATGAGAATAAATATAAAAAATGATTGTAAAAGTAGAAAATAAAAATAGAAAATGATTTTAAAAATAGAAAATGAAAATAGAAAATGAGAATAAAAATAGAAAATGATTATAAAAGTAGAAAATGAAAATAGAAAATTAGAAAAAAAGTAAAAAATGATTATAAAAGTAGAAAATGAGAAAAAAAATAGAAAATGATTTTAAAAATAGAAAATAAAAATAGAAAATTACAAGAAAACTAGAAAATAAAAGTAGAAAAAAGAAAACAAAATTATAAAATAAAAAATAATGAAACATAAAACACAATATCCACTGTCTCAATAAATTCGCCATTTGGTGCGTGGAAAATCTTTCCTCGAGTATTAGTCGAAATCTTTTTTTCTCAAGTCCGTGACCTTCTAAGAACTATAATTTTCCCTCTAATGGTGGTAATGAGTTCTTATTATCCGAGGTGTCTTAGCTCACTGCAGGCGTCAAGAGTCGTTAAATTTGCTCTTTTCTTTTTTCTATTAATGTTTCGTGATAGTTTTTCGGTTTCACCTGCCGAAAATAGCAGATGAGGTCCTTCCGAAAGGAGGCGCGTCCGCATGCTATATATATAGAGAAGATTCTAGGCATCTAAGTCTACACTTTTTGCC